TGTCTTTCACGATCAATAAAGGAGAGGCACACACCAAAACATTTCACTAACATTTTTTTTTAAATTATCTTCAATATATATTTAAATTAAATCGTAAGAGGTGGAGTGGACCATCACCACATTCCAACCAAACATATAATAGAATTAAACATGACGTACTAAATCATCAGGATTAAAACATATAATAATTAAGATAATGGTAGCCAAAAATTTTGGGCACAACTTTTATAGTTGCAAATATTATATCATGAATCTTTTCGTGGAACCCGTGATCTCTAGACTTTAGATTTAAAAAGAAAGGATCCCAAATCCCAATTCCAATAAATAAATAAACTATTCTTTTCAATACGCGCTAAGTGAAAAAAGATTGTAAGACTGAGATTTATTTCCTAATAATCACTCTTTACGAAAAATATCCTTTTCCTTTCAAGCTCTGTGCCACACAAAACAAAAAAAAAAAAGAAAAAAAAATACTACAAGAGGAAAAAATGAGACGTGAAATTGACATGGCAATAGACATAAAATGTGCGCTGATTTCGGGTTGCCAAAAAGGGTAAATCAAATACACAAGATTTCGATAAGTGGCACCAAAATTGAATAGATAAGCCATTAAGGCTCAAATACAATGTACGATTATCAAGGCTCAAACTATGCTAATCAAATGAGTCTAGCCTAAACTCATTTAAAGGCTCCTTAGACTTGATAAATAGAGGTAAAGGTTTTTACGTAATTTCATGATAAATTTATTGATTCGTTAAGGTTCGAGTTCGATTCGGCTAGATAAAGTCTCCAAATTGAGCTCGAGTATCATGTTAGCTCGACTCATCTACAGCTCTAAGCGCAAAGAATCACATCTCAAATAAATACAATTATTGAGCTCCGAAAACTTAAGTCATATTGTCAAGAAGAAAGAAATCAAAAGATCACCATATCTCAAACATTCACTCAGAACGAATCTCAGTATAAATCAAGGTATTGATCGATCGATTACTGGAAAAACTAAAAAACAGATTCCAAGCTCCAAAAAAAGCAGATCAAAACCATCAATAGCAGCAGAAAATGAACAGAGCACAAAAATCCACCAAGACGAACTGCATACACTATACACACAAACAGTCACACACACAAATCGACAAAAAATCAACAGATCGAATGAATCAAAAGAGGAGGCCGGCTTACCCTGTAACAGCTGACGAGCTTTTTCGCCTGTTGAGCTGTCCTTTTTGAGTTTTAGCTTAGAGAGAGAAGAGAGAGGGGATAGGTTGAGTTGAGAAATGGTGTGATCGAAAATTTGGAATTAATAGTGAGAGAGTGAATGACTAGTTTTATTGGGGGAAAGAACAAAATGTGGCCCCGCCCTTTACAAAATACTTTATATTTTTATAAATATTCTACTTTAAATTAGTCGGTCTAACCATTTTGGATTTAATAAGGTCTGGAAAAATATATTTAATATACTATCATATTTTTGTTTATATGTTTTTTTAAATGTATGACTACAAAAATTATATACAATATGTCAGCCTAATAGTTGCTCAGTTCTTTTTTTGCATTTTTTTACTTCTTTTTAAAAAGTGAATATTATTATTTATATATTATAATATTACCAAGATTTCAAGAAATTAAACCAACTTTTTTGTAATTTCAATAATTTGAAATGAGATTTATATGTAATATAATAAATTATATTCTCTTTATAGTTAAATCTGTGAGGTAATTGGATTACAAATCTAGGGAATCTTCAGAAATAAAGTTACCTTTTAATTAAAAAAATGTTTTCCAATTTTTAATAATTTCGAGAAATTGAGAAAGTATTTGGATGGTGGCGGGCACGGCCCACGGCCGGCCGACCAAAACCGCCCAGCCTAATAATCTATGCTTGCAAGGCTGATAGAGTTTTTTGTACCCCACTTTGACAGTGACACGCAACTCTTTTACCATTTGGATTTTGAATCTTTATTATTTAGTTTTATTTTATTTTATATATTCTTGATTGGGACTAAAATTATTGAGTTGGTCATTTCGTTATATATATATATATTTTTAACAAAACTATATATTTAATTATTTATATTATAAACTATCATACTAAAAAATTATATATATGTTTATTAAAAATATATAACTGTTATATCTTTTTAACAATAAATTTTCTTATTTTTCTTTTAAATGTCAATAATATTCAATTGATAGCTTAAAAAATTTGCGTCTTATTTTTTCTTTCTAATAATTGGGATTGTAGTTGTTCTTTAATCATGAATTATTGTAAGAACCACTTCAGTTTAATTTAAGTGAAAACAAATTGGAATTCACAAGATGCATGCGACGACTGCGACCAATTATAAGTTCATACAAATTCTACAAAAATAATGCAATAAGTGTAGCCTATTATAGTTAGTTGTGGCTTAAAGTTTTTTGAATGATGGTTTCATCACTTTGAATGGTGAGGGCAATGATTTTAATTGCTAATATTGAGTGTTTATTGGGTAGCAATATAATATGTTCTGAAAAGGTTTAACATCAAATCCTTAATGAACATTTGTCTTTTACTACACATATCTCCAAAACCGAATGTGATTAGCCACAGTAAATTTAGAAATACTTTAAATTACAATGTATAAACATAAAAATGCATCATCATATTAAATATACATTTATGCGAAAAATAGGACGAGTCAGACACGAATAACAATTCTACCGCCTTGCTTTTTATTAGTTTTTGTGTAATTATGACCATTGATCAGAATTTAAAGGTTTAGTTGGAAAATTTCAGCCAACTAGGAGCAATTAGAGCTGGCCACAAGAGAATATTGACTTTTGGTTGGCTGCAATAATTAAATTGTTTGATCAAACCATATTCTACAGCCATTCAAAGTTTACTTAGTCCCCCCAACTTGACTTTAAAAAATAGACACATTCATTCATCCAGAAAATGACTAAGATCAACTCCAACCGTACCCCAAAACGCAAAATGAGGGAGATAAATTGATCCAACCGAACACCAAACGCAAACTCAAAATGCGTTTTGCTCACTCTCTCTCATCAAATAAACGCATATATGCGTTTCAACGCAAAATTTGCATTTATAATTTTCAAATTGCAATCTCACACCCATGTTTGTTATTAATTACATAATTGGACAATAATAGAAAAAAAAAAGATAAATAATTCTTCAAATGAAGAAAATTAATTATCTAAACTTAGATAAGAAAATTTATGGGAGTCGTTCAGTATTCTCACAAATTTATTGCCTATGTAATATTGTATTCTGTTCATTATGATTTATTTACATAATTGTCATATTTATCTTTTTCTTTTTAAATATATTAACGTACTAATATTTATCCTTTATTTTTTCATAAATTAAATACTAACATAAAGAATATATATATATATAATAAATTTTCTTACCAATGAAAAAATAACATTATAAACCATGAAATACAAATTAGATGTATATAATAAACTAAAATATGAAAAATATAACTGAAAAAATATGTATTCCAATATTTTACATATGTACGAATTATCAATCTATAATAAATTATTATATATTTTTCAAATCAAATATAAAATAATATTGGATTAAATGTGTAGAATTATTAAATATGTAGGGTAGTATTGAAAATTTATAAAACTTGATGTGTGAGAATATTCTTTTGGGGCTGAAAATGAGTTTTTCGGTTGGAGATAAATTACTGCAAAATGTGACAGTTACGGTAAAATGGGTTTGAGTATGAGTTTTTCGGTTGGAGATGGCCTAAAGCTTAGTTCAAATGTGGTCTCGAAATTTGAAATAATCAATTTAGCCTCTCATTGATGATGAACTCAATTTTCACCGAGCTTCTAAGGTTACGAGTTGGTCTTGTGGTACGCCATACTAATAATTAAATCAACATACTTATCTTATAAATATGTATACTTTGATTGGAAAATGTCATATTTTAAAATATTTTTGTTTAAATAATATGACGGGTCAACATGTCTAACTAGTTCACACCAGAATTTGTGGTAATATTGTTTAGAAGAGTTATTATTGGGAACATGAGCCATTTTTGGATAAATTCGATCCTGCGAAGACATTGCTCTCACCAAATTATTTTACCTTTGAATTAAAGTGTGTTGATGCAAGAGTACATATATTTCGAAGAACCCACTTGGAGTGAATTTTCCTTATTGGTGTATTAAAAGTAATGCCTACCCCTTGGGACTAAAAAGCTATGTTGTGTGGTGTATTGAATAATGACAGTGAGAACAATTTTACATATAAAAATAACTAAATAAGAAATATTATCTCTTACACCATTGCCAGTTTGCCACTCCTTGTCCCCAACTTGGTTACCCATTAGATCAAAAAAGATAGGAAAATTAANAAAAAACAAGCCTTAGATTTTAAGAAAACTCCATGGATGGGCTTCAGCAAATAGGTCTTCCAGTGGCAGCCATTGTTGCAGCTGCTGCTCTTACTTTCTATGCTGTTAGTTTTTCTGAGCTCAGAGAGGTACAGCTTTTTCTCTTCATTTTAGTTATTAAATTTACAGACTTCAATACATATTTTTATGGATTTTTAAGGCAAAGCTCCTTAAAATAATAAAAGAAACTCAAATTTGGACATTGTATTGGAAAAGGCTAAATAATGGTTTGATGAAATTTGTCAGAAATCATTCAAGGATTTAGAAGAGAGGGATGATGATAAAAATGGTGGTGGTTTCAAGTCATCTTTGAGCTCTAGAGCGAGAAGGGCCAGAAGAAAGGCTGATAAGCAGTCTAAATCTTGATATAGTTCAAGTTTCTGGTTTATTTTCAGCCATAACTAAAAATTGTGCCTTTTGTACTAAATGACTGTTGTTAATTTTGTTTGTTGTTTTTGTAATATGTTAGTTTTGTTGATTCAAATGACAGATGCTATTTCATTCAAGAACTTGGATAAATTTGGTGAGAATATTGAGATTGCAAAATATCATCAAAATGCACGATTTGGATAACAATTAATTTGAATCCTCAATTTTTGCACTTGGTTTACAGGAACCTAATTATGTTTATGTTCTGATGTAATCTAGTTAATTATCTTGAAGCATCTGTAGTTTTCTTACATAATACACAGAACCTTATGGATTAAAAAAAGAAAAAGAAAAAATAGAACACCTCAACAAGATTGATTAGAATAAAGATCCCAAAAGAAACACAGCATAATAAATTACTTCTATTAATAAATAAAGAGAAACAATAGCTCAAAAGGTAATTGCAAGAGGCCCAAGAAATCATTAACATTGGTCCCTTTATTTCAAATTCCACAAATATGTAACTGCAAACTGCAAACACATCTCCATTTCCAGCAAGAATAGCCCCAATTATCATCATCATCATCATAATATACTTTGTTGGGACCTTATTCTTTTACTTCTTCTGAGACTTGAGCTCGAGCACCCGCTCTTCTGTAGCCTTCAGAGCTTTTCCATAGATGTCGATTAGCTGTTCAACCAAGGAATAATGTTTAGAAATCAGCAAAAATAATAATAAATAAATATACACATAAAATGTACCAATTCTTGATTTTTAACTTATCAAAGTTGGCCAAACGAAAACCAGTTTTTTTCTACGCAGTCTAATCGAATTCTCAAAACCAGGTCAAGCGTTTTCTCAAGTTCATTAACCAATTGGACTCGTTTTTATGTACTCATCTAGATTCTTCTACAATGAACTACTTTTATTTATGCATACACTCTACCTTGTCAACTTCTTCAAGAGTCATTATGAACGGAGGTGACATCATTATAGTGTCACCGGCAACACGTACTAACATGCCGTGCTTCTCACATTCTGCTCCAAAATAAGCTCCAACACCTAAAAATATTAATGGAGAAGAGTATATTTTGTTAGTACTGAAAACTTCAGACAATTTCTCTATGTTTAGAACCATTTTTTTACGTACCCCATTCGGAAGGGAAAGGGTCGGTTGGCGACTTGTTATCGGCAAATTCTGTCCCGAGAATCAAACCTGTCCCCCGAATCTTCAGGAGAAAATCGCAATTCGAATGAAAAACTAAAGTCTGTTTAAGAAAAAATAAAATAAAATAAAAAAAGAGGAAGAGATTCTAATTATATTTGTACCTCTCCAATGATGGGACTGTCAGAAAATGCCTTTAGGCCCTCTTGAAACTTTGGAGCTATTTTATTTACTTGATCAAGAATATTTCTCTCCCTGCAGATTTATATACACTTTATAAATAAACATGAACTTCCCATTGAATATGTGGAGTACACTAAATTCATTCGATCGTTCTTTTTGTGCAGCCATAAAAAAGGATAGGATAATTAGAAAAATATTCATGCTGGTTGGTTAATTTACAGAAAAATACACATTTCCATACATTGCACAGTGAAACCAATGGGTTCTATTTGTAATATTTTGAGAAGTCAACAAGCAAAAAAATTTTGAAAATACTTGATGACATCAACATATTCCGTCAACTACCAAATTCCATCAATCTATTTATTATACGCATTGTATAATGGAAAAAAAAAAAGTTAATCTCCAACAACAAACAAGAGAAATTGAATGCACCCAAAAGTAATAATAAAACAACATACTTGTAGATTTTAAGTGTTTCCAATGCAACGGCACAAGGGACAGGATGTCCGGAATATGTAAACCCGTGGGAAAAGGCACCTTCAAATACAAAATACAAGCAGAAGTCACACACAGGAATTTTCCGAATTTTCCAAATTAATTTTATGATAAACAATTTAAAAAAAAATCTACCGACCAAGCTTGTTGCTCTGATCATGTATGACATCATAGACTTGAGGGCTAACAAGAACAGCTCCAATAGGCATGTATCCAGAAGATAGCGCCTGTGCATTATTCGTAACAAGGAAAATTATTCGGGATTTTAAAATAGGCTATCCTTTTCAGTTTTCACAATGCACTGTGAAGAAATTTTTTAAAATAGACTATCCTTTTCAGTTTTCACAATGCACCGTGAACAAATTTTACCTTAGCTATGGTCACAAGATCCGGTTTGATGCCATACTTGTCACAGCCGAACATAGTTCCAAGCCTCCCAAAGGCACATATCACCTCATCAGCAATGAAAAGGATATCATACTTTTTAACAACAGCTTGAATCTGCATATATGTCGGAAAGAATCACATCAAACACTTTTAAAATTGCAGAGAGTGGATTCAAAGGGAAAAATAAAAGAACAAAGAAAGAGTAAGTGCTTCCTCGATCAGTTGGTGAATTTTTTAATGTCTTTTGCGTGGAGAATCTGAAGATGGCAATATTTCAAAGAAAATACACTTTACACCTTACAGTTTGGTACATAAATAGCATGGAAAAGGCAAACTCACTTTCTCAAAATAAGTTGCGGGCGGAGGTATTACGCCACCTGCCCCCATAACTGGCTCGGCAATAAATGCAGCAATCTGAAATGAGCATAAGAGTGTTAGGAGGGTAATAATGTAATGTGTTGTCCCTATCACACTATCACAATAAAATAAAAAGGGAAGAAAAAAAAGTTGAATTGTTTCCTTTTCTTATGCTATCCTTTCTTTCTTCCTTCCTTTTTCTTTTTCTTTTGCTATCATGTTGAGCCATTAGAGATAGTTTTTCTGTAACTGAATACAAAGTTTAACGAAATGAATCTAATATCAAATTCCAATTACCGTCTCAGGCCCCTCTTTAAGGATAAGATTTTCCAAGTTATTGGCCAACCTGGTAGAGAACTCCTCCTCCGTTTCACCTGGAAAGATTTATTAAAAATAAATAAATAAAATAAATTTGATATCATTATTGTGAAAGGAATACTAGCTAATGGTAACAAGTATATGAACCTGGGAGATGAAAACGCCAGTAATGAGGGCAATCGGTGTGCACTACAAATGGAGCCGGCAAATCAAACTTCTGGTGCAGTGCAGGCAGACTGTTTAATGAAAAAAATGTTCAAATTCTGGTTTTACTCAAATCATTTATTAGGATCCTCAAAGTTGATGACATAAAAACATACATACCCCGAAAGACTGGCTGATATAAGGGTGGAGCCATGGTATCTGCCACAAGAGGAAAAAAGAAAAGAAGTTGAAATGGAAAGAGGTAAGGAGAAAAATTCCGAAAAGAAAGGGAAACAACTACATGAACAGATGAACAACAAATATTACGATTTTGCACGAGCAATGAACTTCTTCTTGTCTGGCCTCCCAAGGGCGTTGTTGTAATACCAAACCAGCTTCACCTGCAAGGTAACGAATAGGGTTTCATATCGTTTAAATTCACCAGCAGCTTGGAAAACAGTACCTAAATGGACCCTTGCGCAGGTTATTCAGAGTGTTACTGTTCAAATTGACATAACCAATCAGCTTGTAAAATTATATACGGCCTTCATAATAATTTTGTATCAACACCATGTAATTTTCTTAAGGCAAACAAGATGAAATGCACATCAATGAAAGAGCATGCTATCATAAACAAGCGCTCTACACAAAAAATAAAAAAAATAAATAAAAAAATCAATGCTTTACAACAACATATATCAAATCAACAAATTATAATGACTAGTTTCCTTCTTCTAAAAAACGACAAAGACCTGTGTATCATTTGCTTCTGATCCGCTATTCGTGAAGAAGACTTTAGCCATCTCATTCGCAGTGAACATATCAGAGAGTTCCTTAGCAAGATCCTACACTCAGAGGGAAGATCAGAATGAGAACATATTGAAGCTGAACTTTACAGCTTCCTGTTGATGGACTTAAATCATCATATTACCAAAGAGGGCTTTGTGGTTCGGTTCCAAAAGGAGTGGTAAAATGGCAGTGTCTTTAGCTGTTGCGTTGCAGCCTCAACGAGGCGGGGCTCATTACCACCTGTCAAGAACCCAAGAGAACATAAGCAATCTTTTAATAAAATCGATTTGCTAATTACAGCATCAAATATACATATAGACATAAAATAAAACTGCATAATATAGGTACTTTTCATCTAATTATTAAAACTATGCAGAACATAAAGAAGTCCCGCAAGGAAGATGATTAAAAAACAGATGGATATTACTTAGCAATAAAACAGTATAAACATAGACATTGTCCAATATTATTTAGTGGGATTAAGAATACCTAGGACCGTGCACCATAAACCAGCAAGGGCATCAAGATACTTTTTTCCATTGGCGTCATATACGTAGGAGCCCTGAGACAAAAAATAAATAAATAAATAAAAAATAAAAAATAAATGTGAATACTTAATTAAGGTGGAATTATATAAAGAAGTTTGAAACGCTGATACCAAGCTTTATACATACCTCTGACTTCTCAATTACAAGGGGATTCAAATCTGTAGTCTGCCATCCAGCTGTAAAGGGTGCCAGCATATCATGTCCCTTGAAGCTACGAACATTAATCGTCAAAGTAAAATCAGAGGCATCAGGTCATTTCTTGATATGAACAGAAATATTTGTGAATGAATATTGGTGTGGTTAAGGAAAGAATCCTTGAGGTTACTTATGCCTAATTACTGGAAGTTTTATTGATCTTTTCAACATTATGAATGCCTCCTTAAAGTGACACGAAAACCCATTGGTGCTTGTATTAAGCCAAACAGATACCAGCCTGGAGAGTACGAGATTAATTGAAAAAAAAAATAGAAGCGAATGTCAACTAGAACACAACTTTTCTATTTTAATCAGTCAACTCTGCAGGGGTACGGTTTTTTAATTAAATGCTGCGTATATGTAAGTCACACAAAGAGATCAAATGCAGTAGGAATCAAAGGGAAGTACCCTTTGTCGTCATTTGACAAATCATCCTTTTGCAAAGATGCCTGTGTACCATACGCTTTTGCAAGAGTGGGAACCTGGTCCAAATTTTTCTTCAAACTATTTCCTGCTGAAATATCCTTTAAATGGTAACCAGCCTGTAGAATTGAAAGTTTGGGACACTAAAATTAGAACAAACAAAGTGGAAGAACATTGAAACATTAATCGGTAAAGGGGATTCAAAGTTTGCTGCACCATAGTGCTTCTTCATTCATTTGTCTAACTTTTCAAACTAAAAACTTCATCAACAAAAGGAGAACGGCAGAAAGAATGGTTGAACGAGATACAAATAGGCTGTCTATATCATTTCCGAAGCCATTCTAAGATCTAAGAAAAGGAACATTCGTAATAAATTCTTTTTTTTTCGATTTAAAAAAAAAAATTGGCATATTTTGAGCAGAGCAGCCTCTGATATTCAAAAGGGATCACCGATTTCTTTGATTTCCATAGAGGTTTCAAAACCTTTGTAAAAGAATAAAGCAGAAAACAGCACAAGGGAGCTCAAACATGTAAAATGAACAGAAGAACAGTACTCAATAAAAGTAACAGACTTATTACATCGATACTGAAAATCAAACACAGCATATTTACACTCTTTGTCAACAAGGTTGTTCCCAGTGAGCCATTTAAATCAAGTATGGTTTAAACATCGGTGAATCAAAATGTGGTCAATTAAGTAAGGCTACGTATGGAATTTTGATTCTATGGCCCTATTGAGTGAAATCGAATGCCTTCCAGTTATCTTTCTACAGTAAGAGCATTTTGTGAACAGTGCCATTTCCCATTTCAAATTTGAGTATATGACTCAACATAATTTCAGTTCCACCATAAGAAATTGTAATCAAAACAAATTCCACAGAAGACCAAAGACTTTCAAGTCAATACCAGGATTTGATTTTCCTCCTTTACTCCCTTCTCAAGAGCAAGACATAATATAGTTGAACACACACACACGCCCCCCAAGAGAATCAAACCATAGAATTCGCAACAAAGACTCCACCTTTTTTCCCCACAGAGCCTACCATTCAAAAAACCCAAACCCTTTTCTAAAACATAAATAAATTACAAATCTTCAGTGCACAAATAACCAAAAAAAGATGCAATCTTGCAAATGCAATCCCATAAATAATTTCTCATGAAAACTCCACACCTCAATAGTTACAGATACAAAACAAAGATCAACACAGAAACGTGACAATTTGGTTCGCATAGATTAGGACACACACACACACCAAAGTTCGAGGAATTTAGAACAGAAACTGAAGTGGAAATCGAACCTGGCTGGCATTTTTGAGACTCGACTGAAGATAACGTAGGCGATGCATAATTGATTTTTCTTCACTTGGGCTATGTTCAAACTTCAAACAATCAAACGATGAGAATATGATGCTTGTTACAGATTGTTTATATAAAGGACTAAATCCTGCGGAGAAAAGAAAATTAAAAATAAGAAAATAAAGATTATGGTGCGCGGTGTGTGAGACAAATTGCAGAGTTGATGAGACGTACTTTAATTATAGACAAAGCAGTCCACGTCATAATTTATTATCTGGTTTTTGACATTTTCTTATAATTTATCAAATGTAATGATTATCATCTTTATTGACTTTATATTATTATTATTTTTTTAGGTTAATTGCATTTAAAATCCTAACATTTTGTCTAATTGCAAATAAAACTCAATATTTTTAATTTAACAAAAAAATACCAAACTTTTAATAAATATTACAATTGTGCCTCAAAATCAATTTTCGGCCGCCAATCACCTTCCGCCGCCGCCGGATCGCAGCCAACCGTCACTTGCCGCCGGCCAACTTCGTTGGATGTTGAAAATTTTACATGATCTTGTAGCTTTTCTTCGTACCGACAATATATTCGAGTTTCACGAAAAAATTCCGACGATAAGGCTTCTAATTTTCTGGTCAAAGCTCGTAGATCTACAAATTTTCTCTGGCGTTCTTTTGCAAATTCCCAGTGACTCGCTTTGACCCACGTGAATTCGAAGGTACCGTTGAACACCTATCGCAAAGCCACATCTAGTGATGTCCACCTTCGCTTTTAAATATCATATTTTTGTTTATATTGTTTTGTAGAACAAGATGCTTTGAGTTTAAAAGTACAAATATATGTAAAAAAAATATGGGTGGAATTGTATAATTATTTAAATATATGTTGAAAAAAAAATTACGGGGCGTTACAAAGTATAAATATATATTGAAAAATGTATAATTGTCTTTCCATTAAATATGGGTGAAATTAGATTTGTTGTGAATTACATGCACATTCTTTACATTTTTACCAGAAATTCTATGGTGCCCATATGGGCACCATAGAATTTCTGCATTTTTACTTTGCAATGTTAAATAAGATGAATTAGGTAAAGATTTGGCAAATTTGTTAAATTTAAAAAAAAAATTGATTGACTATTGTGCAAACTGAATGTATAATATTTTTACTTTGCAATGTTAAATAAGATGAATTAGGTAAAGATTTGGCAAATTAAAAAAAGTCTTTCTCTCTCAAGAAACCGCCGCTGCCCCTAAATCTCTCAACCCTAGTCGGCTAAATCGTGCGGTGCCGCTGCCCCCTTAACGGCGATCCGGAGCCGTCGGTCGACGGCCCCCACTGCTCTCCCAAGGCGGACTTGCGCCGGTCTCAATTCGTTGGCCCTGTTCCCGATTCGCGAGATCGATGCGGTGGCCTTTCCCAATTCGATTGAAGGAATTTGGCGGCGGTCGCGGTGGTTCGGGTCGCAGTGGCTGTGCTTGGTAGTGGCTTGGTCCGTCGAGGTGTCCCAGGCTGCGACGTTGTCTCCTCGGTCCCACTCCTCTTCCCTTCATCTGTAGCTCTGTCCTTCTGCACCGGCGAAGCAGTGCCTGGGATGGCGAGTCTCCGTCCTCGATGATCGGCAACATCGTACGGTGGTAAGCTGTTCTTTTACTGCTTTGGCTCGGTTTCTCTTGCTGCGACAGATAGAGGGATTCTCGGTGGTCGGCTGCTGGCTGCTTTTGGGGATTGGACTGATAAGATGGCTTTATTGGTTGGGTTATCTGGACGACGCTAAGCATTGTAGGCTTTCGGCCCTTTCCTTTTCGATTTTGGCTGCCGGGCCGGATTGATTGAGGCTACCTATGACTGCATTGGCAGCATTGGGGTGGAGTCGTTTCGGCTGAGGGTCGGTGGTTTCTACAAGTGTGTGGAGTGCGGGCTAAACCCTTGGTTAGTGTAGGATGGCCGAGAAATCGCCTTACTAGGCCTTAAGCAGTGGTGGGCGGAGGTTCGGTTCTCTGAAACTGGCTTCGGTTTTGGTTTGTTCGGCTGACATTTGGATTCGACTGTTGTGGGGGACATTTTAGTATGTAGTTTATATGTCTTGTTCGTAGATTATTTGTTTGTTCGTGTGGTTGTGTCCGAGTTTTATGTCTTGTTTTATGTCTTATGTTGCTGTTGTGTTTTTGTGTTTTTGGTATGGGCCGTTGGCCCCTGTTAACCTGGGTGTTACCTTTATTCTCCTGTTGGGAGCCAACACCTAGGCATTCTCTCGGAGGGGAGCTTTTAGTTTTGTGATTGTGTTTAGTCGCGTTTTTCTCCCGTGGGGAGCCAGTAGTTTTGTGATTGTGCTTAGTTGTTTGAGTTAGGTTTTCTTCTGGCAAAAAAGCAAGGTACATGCAATTTCTAGGGTACCAAATTTGTCATGGGTTCTGGTTAACTTGTGAATGGTGACATCTAGATTATAGATTTCGTTTTATTTGGACCAGTGAATTTTTGGTATGGGATGGGGACCATTTGATATATGTGGAGAAGTTGTCATAATTGAATTCGAATGGATAAGGGAAAGTATCCATATCAGTTAAACTAGTATGTGAATAACGTATTGTAAATTATATAGATATAATATTAAAATTATACATTATATAATGGCATTATATTTAAAAAATTTATCATTAGTAAAAATAATAGGTAACTACATGTGAATCGCTATATTAGTTGCATAATATGTAATAAAAAGTGTAGTTTTATAAGTATGAAGGATCATTACCAATTAACTAGTTGTAAAATATTAAATTTATTATTATAACAATTGCTTATACTTTTAAATAGTTTCACTATTCCATTACAATCAAATAGTTTTTTTTTTTTAATAATCGTCGGTTGAGATAAAAAAAATAATATTGATTTTTTAATAAATAATTTGAAAAAAATATTTACAGTATAATCTTTATGCTTACGTAACTTTCATACATTATTTAGTGTAAAATATAATTAGAAAGTTTTAATAATAGGTGTTGTAACATTAAAATCCTGATCACACGAAACGGACCAATAATGTTATTATTTATATTTTAATGTTATCCTAAATTGAAACTCTCAATATATGATTAATTTCGTACTATATCGTAAATTAAAATACGATGTCAAATAAAATGTTATTATTTATATTTTTGTTATTATTTATTTTTTAGTTAGTCATGTGTTTTACAATTTTAAAAGTCTTAGCAGATGAAGTTACAAACTTTATTATTTATAATATTAGTTAGTTAAGTGTTTTATAATTTAAAAATTTTAACACATAAAGCCTAAATCCATATGGACTCCATAATACCCGGAAAAGTCGACATAGAGTTACGATGTATCAAAAACTATGAAAAATCTACAATCTCGTCACGGAATGATCCGTGAGGGTTTTTAGCTATTCGATATACAGTAAATGGAAGTTATATGTATATTTGATGGCTAAAAATTCTCACGAAATCATTACATGACGGGATTGTAACCTTTTTCCAAAAATTAATACATAATTACGAACCATCATAAGTTGGGATTGGCTCCTCATATTCATTAGTCACATAATTTTTAAAATAAGTGAAAAATAGTAGTTTTTATATAATAAAAACTGTATATAACGTGATGTAAGTGGAAAAGAAAAATTAAACAACGTGTTAATAGTGTTACTGACATGTTTTGGATAGTTCCACGCAAGATAGGGACATTCCAATAAAGACATTTCCAAACAAAATGGAGAGGGAGTATAGCATTTGGTCACTTCAATAAGTGGCGACCATCAAACTTGACCCATATGTGTGTAATTGCATTTCTTTTGTTCAATATTATGGTACTATGCATTGTACCAAAAAAAAAAAATAAGTATGGTACTATGTAGTAAAAAAATAAATAAATAAATATTATGGTACTATGTATTACCAAGTTGCAACTTGCAAATTGAAAAATATTGATAAAAGACTTTTGAAAAAGATTTATTAATAAATATGAATTATTTTTATCAATTTCGCTTCTCCATTCACGGTAGAAACACAATAATATATCCATAAACTAAATTTATAAAAAAACTAACATACTTTATCGCATGTTCGAAAGATTAAAAAAAATAAAAATAAAAAAATAACTACATCAATGTGGATAGGTGAATAATTTTATTTTTTTTAAATTATTATTGTTATAATAACATGATCAAAATACAAGCCGGAAATGAAAAATTATTAAAGGTGTATTTTTTGGTTAAATTTGGTTGGAAAATGAATGATTGTGTTTTTGTTAATCATAATATTGAATTTAGACAAAAGTTCGACACCCTCCTAATATAACTCTATATCTCTCTCTCTCTCTCTCTTTCTTATTTTTCCTTTTTTATCTTTTAACGTCTCAAAAAAATGTATATTTAAGTATGTCAAAAATTATATGGAGCAATCAGATAGTTTTCTTATGGACCCACGCACCACTTAATGTATTTACACATGTTCAATTTGTATTTATTGTAGGATACGTGACAATACACGATTGGTGAATAACTGTGGATAGCTCTATAAGTCGAGCCATCCTATGACTTCATAGCAAAACTGTTAAGTATGCATATAAGTGTTATTCGAGCCGAGTAGCTGAGTTTGTGCTTATTTAGTAAACGAGTCGATTCGATTCGACTCGTTTAAGCTTATAAACTATTTGTTCGACTCAACTTGTTCAACGGATCAAAATCGTAATAAGCCATAATTCGAGTATTTGCAAAAATGTTTAATTTGGTTGCTTGCTCGAAACATATAAAAAATGATAAAAAAAAAAAAAAATTATTTGCAAATGGGTTCAACTTAACTTTTTAATCAATGAGTTTGATTAACTATTCAAACTCCATTAATTTAAGTAAATGAATAAATCAAGCTCTGACTCTTTATAAGTTGAATCAAATTGTGTCGACCAACAACTCATTTCGAATAATAGCAATAATTACATGCACACACCATAAAAAAAAAAAAGCAAAAATAATAGTAGTAGGGATAACTACAGTCTCGTTGAGAGAATGATTCTGTCAGTATTTTGTATGAGAGATTATCTACACTAAACTAATCTGCATGTCTATTTACATCAGAAAACACTTACCAATAAATATGTACTGTAGTACGGAGTATTATTGTTTGAATATTATTTTCACATATAAGTTTTTGTTAAATATAATAGAAATCGTGGCACGTATACGTAAAGACGCACGCTAGAAAAGGGCAAAAGAGGAGTGAGCCACGCGCTAGAGAGAGAAGGAGGGATAGAAGCGAGTGTGTGAAACTGTTGAAGATGAGCGAGTGGAAATCATATCTCGCCAAACCCTAATCTCCAAAATTGGGGGAAAAAAATCGTCGACTCGCCCAGGCCCTCGCGTGGAATTGCAGCTCTGAAGATCCTAAGCCTCGTCCAACTACAAAAACTTGAAAATAATCACAGGTGCAGTGCAGCCTCTTTATCTTCTCCGACGAACCCCTCTTTTCCTTTCTTCCTCTTTCGTTATCCAGTTCGATTATTTTGCCCTCTCTTTGCTAATTGATCAAGGGAAAAATTGGGTATTTTTGTTGGTTGAAAATGATGAGGCTTTTCCAGATATTTTTCTTTCTGCTGTTGCCTGCTGTTTTTGTCACGTATGTGTTCGTTTTCGTTTTGTTTCCTTTTGTGGGTTTTAGCATTTGTGTTGCTGNTTTTCTTTTTTCTTTTTAAGTTTTGTGGGATTCAGTCGAGGGGGTTTATTTTTTTTCCATGAATCGTATTTATTGCAGGAGAACAGTATTTTGCGATAAGCAGACTGCATACATTGGAATTTTCTGACATTCAACCTGTTATTGGCTGTGTATTATTAATTGTGTCATAATCAGGCAAATGCTTGTTGCCATTTTGTTTTGTTTTGGAAAGAGAAGTGTAGCAGGGGGAGTGCTGGAAATGTCTGATACCGATGAGCTAAATTGGACAGAGGATTGGCTGAGTTTTTGATTAATTGGTTATAGGGTTAAATTTTGATTATCTGTGTCAAATTTTTAGCTGCTGTGTTATCTATGCTGTCAAATTAAGAGTTGTTCTCGAATAGTCTGTATTTCCTTGTCTGTTCCCTCTTTTCCGTTCCAATTCCTTGCAGAAAGAAAACATTATGAAATTTTTGTATCCAATGGCTAGAAAACGTGCATAGAGTCTTTGAGTTCCATGTTTTGTTTGTACCCTATGCATGTAAGTCTAGAGCTTCTGCAATGGCATGTGTTTTAGATGAGGGATGACATGAAATACCTCGGCCTTGCTTTCAATTTTTTTCCCATGGAAAACCAAATGTGAATATGTTAGGGATTTGAAGTAAACGAAATAACCTTCAGAATATCTGAAATGATATGGAAAAGTATACCTGCATCTTCACTGTAATTAACCAAAACTGTATATGAATCAGTGGCCAAAATGGATGAAGTATTATTCAGTTCTGCCCGTTTATCTTGTTCCCGGTTTCTAAAATTAGAGGATAAGCCTATGTAACTGAACGTATGATGTAATACTGCTGCTCAAGTCCTTGACATAACGGCACCACTATATCACCAACAATTATTACTATATGTATTTTTGATGCGGATCCCAAAATTTCTTGTTTCCTTTTCTCAGGCCCCCTCACTACTTACATAATTCAAAGAAAGAAAACTTTCTTGGATATGGATATAGACCTCAGCCTGCCATCCGAGGAAAATGAAAAGGAGCTAGATGGAACAAATGAAATCGCACATATTTTAGATGTGGATGAAAAACCCATTGATCCAGAAGGAGATGCCGACAGGCAGGCACTCGCTGAAGATGGAGCGGAAGACCTTCATTCCCCTTCTCTTCAGGACATCGACTTCAAGGACATCACAATCCTCGAGCCGCTCCCTGGCATGGAATTCGGGTCCCATGGAGATGCCTATGCCTTCTACCAGGAGTATGCAAGGTCTGTTGGATTTAATACTGCCATCCAAAACAGCCGCAGGTCCAAAACATCAAGGGAATTCATCGACGCCAAGTTCGCATGCTCGAGGTATGGAACAAAGCGCGAATACGAAAAATCCTTAAACCGCCCCAGGAGTCGGCAGGGGGGAGGGGCAAATCTGGAATTGGAAAATAATAACAACAATAACAATAATAATAATACGAGCCGGAGGGCCTGCTCAAAAACGGACTGTAAGGCGAGCATGCACGTCAAGAGGAGGACAGATGGGAAGTGGATCATACACAGGTTCGAGAAAGTGCATAACCACGAGCTGTTACCCGCCCAGACTGTGAGCGAACAGACTCGAAGAATGTATGCTGACATGGCACGGCAGTTTGCCGAGTATAAGAGTGCGGTCGGGCAGAATCATGACCCGAGGGCACAGCTTGACAAGGGCAAGAATACGGCGGTGGATGCTACCGAGGCGAATATTCTGCTCGACTTTTTCGTCCACATGCAGAGTCTAAATTCGAACTTTTTTTATGCCGTCGATGTCGGTGAGGATCAGCGGCTAAAGAATCTCATGTGGGTTGATGCTAAAAGCAGGCACGATTATATCAGTTTCAATGATGTTGTGTCTTTTGATACTAGTTATGTGAGGAACAAGAACAAGATGCCCCTGGCGCTTTTTGTCGGGGTCAATCAGCACTATCAGTTTATGTTGCTTGGGTGTGCTTTGGTGTCGGACGAGACGGAAGCCACTTTTTCGTGGGTCATTAGGTCGTGGCTGAAAGCAATGGGCGGTCAGGCGCCGAAAGTTATAATCACTGATCAGGACAGGGCTGTGAAGTCTGTAATTTCGGATGTTTTGCCTTCATCTCTTCATTTTTACTCTCTGTGGTATGTCATGGGGAAGGTTTCGGAGACATTAAGTCACGTGATCAAACAGAACGAGAATTTCATGTCTAAATTTGAGAAATGCGTGTACAGGTCATGGACCGAAGAGGAGTTTGAAAAGAGGTGGCGTAAAATAGTCGAGAGGTTTGAACTTGGAGAGAATGAGCTGATTCAGTTACTGTATGAGGATCGGGCTAAGTGGATCCCTAACTTTATGAAAGATGGGTTTTTTGCGGGTATGTCGACCGGCCAGCGTGCGGAGAGCGTGAACTCTTTCTTCGACAAGTACGTGCATAAGAAGACCACCGTGCAAGAGTTCATAAAGTTTTATGAAGCAATTATGCAGGATAGGTATGAAGAGGAAGCTAAAACAACTTATGATACATGGAATAAACAGCCGACTCTGAAGTCGCCTTCGCCTTTCGAGAAGCATCTGGCAGGTTTGTATACTCATTCCGTGTTTAGGAAATTTCAAGTCGAGGTCTTGGGGGCAGTGGCTTGCATTCCCAAGGAAGAGGGACAAGCCGGCTCGACTACCACTTTCAAGGTTCAAGATTTTGAGAGGAACCAAGAATTTGTAGTTACACTGAACGAGCTGAAATCCGAGGTGTCGTGCATATGCCATCTATTTGAATTTAAGGGATTCCTTTGCAGACACGCGCTGATTGTCCTACAAATCCGTCGTTATACGACAATTCCTTCACAGTATATTTTGAAACGGTGGACCAAAGACGCTAAGGGGAAGTATCCAGTTGGGTTTGGACCGGAACAAGTGCAGTCTAGGTTCGAGCGGTATAACGATCTCTGGCAGAGGGCGGTAAGGTTGATTGAAGAAGGGTCTTTATCGCAAGAGAGCTATAATCAGTCTGTTCGTGCACTTGACTATGCTTTGGAGAACTGTCTGAACGGTAACTACTCGAGTAAGAATCTTGTAGAAGCTGCCCCCTCGGCATCGCCAGGCCTTTTGTGTGTTGAGGAAGAAATCCAAAGTGGGAGTTTGAACAAGCCGAATAAGAAAAAGAGCACGGTTAAAAAGAGAAAGGTTTT